GACTCCATATACGAGTCTCTGTATTTATCGATCCTGCGATATGATGTGTGATATTATTATCACTCTCCTCATTTTCTTGGATTATTGACCCAAGATACTTGAAACTTTCTCTCTTGGGGATAACTTGTGTATCAATTCTCACTTCCACTCTTGAACCATGAGTTATGTCATTGAACTTACACCCTAAGTACTTTGTCTTAGTCTTGCTCAATCTGAAACTCCAGGGTCCGTATCCAAATCTCCAGCCTAGCGTTAACTCTGTCACGTATCTCGTCAATCAATATTATGTTTTCTGCAAATAGCAAACACCATGTCACTTCCCTTGGATATGCTGCTTTTGATTCATCTATCACCAAAAGCAAATAAAAACGGGCTAAAAGCTAATCCCTAGTGTAACCTCATCATGACTGGAAAGTGTTTCGAGTCTTCTCCCACTATTTTTATCCCAGTCTTGGCTCCATCGTACATATCCTTAATCGCCCTATGTATGTACACCTCTAGTCTCCAAACATCTCCATAAAATTACCTCTCTTGTCACTTTGTTGTATGTTTTTTCTTGGTCAATGAACACCATATGTAAGTCCCCACTTTCTCTCCTTATACTGCTCTACCAATCTCCTAACAAGATAAATGACTTATGCAGTGGATCGCTCCGGCATGAATCTGAATTGATTCTCGACAATAGATAAATCCCTCTTCACCCTCCCCTCTACCACTCTCTCTCAAACTTTCATAGTGTGGCTTAGCTGGTTGATACCCTTATAGTTGTTGCAATTTTGAATATCACTCTTATTCTTGTACAACAGAGTTATTCTACTCCACCTTCACTCTTCGAGAATTTTTGTTATCCTAAAAATGATATTAAACAACTTGTTAGCCACTCCATACTTGTCCGGCCTGTGCTCTTCTCAAAATTCATCGGGATCTCGTCTAGACCGGTCGCTCTTTCCCTTCTCGTTATACGCATAACTTCCTTAACCTCCTCAAACTTTATATGCCCGCAATATCCAAAATTTCGACGACTTGCGAAGTGCTTTAAATCACCCATCACAATATTCTTGTCCTCTTCTTTATTCAACAGTTTATAAAATTATGTCTGCCATCTTCGTCTAATATGTGTCTCTTCAATTAATATTTTGTCTTCCTCGTCTTTGATACACTTTACTTGGTCCAGGTCTCGGGCCCTCCTCTCTCTCGCCTTGGGGAGTCTATACAACTTCTTATCCCACCTTTATCCTCTAGTCCTAGTGACAAGAATTCAAACTCTGTTGTTTTTGCTGCCCAAACCGCTAAGAATATCCTTCATTTTTCGATGAAGAATACATTGACCTATTAGGATTTCTGTATAACAATGTTGTGAAATTTTTTACATATTATTCTTATACTATTACATATACTATTTGACGGATCTAAGTGCATTGTTGTTGTCGATGTTGATATCTCTCTTGAAAGTGTAACATAAATAATTATTCGTGGAAGGAAATATATTATTGTAAATATAGTCAAATATTTAGAATGTTTGTCCTTGTGCTTTATTTAAATAAATACAAAATATAAACATACTAAAAATTATTTTCACAGAAATTTAAAAGGATATTCTTTAGTTTCGGAAGATGAAAGTTGAATTTGGGGATAAACACATACTTAAAAGCACATTGACAATATCATAAGTTCTGCATGTATGACGTTATTGTCAAAACTTCTATATACCATATGTGTACTACATAAGTTATTTACCGGATCTAAGTTTTTAGTAGCACAACGGATATATTTTTCTTCAAAATCAACCTATATGCATTAAAAGATCAATTTGAACTTAGTCTAATATATATATATGGTGACACTAACATACGTAAGAAATAATGAACTTGACAACAAACATGTACGGTAGACGATCATTTGGTATTAAAGTATTTAAGTATTTTTCTTGGTAGTAATTATTGGTATCATCAATCTTTTGCTGAGTTAAAACTGAAAAATAATTTATTTTTACCATAGAACTTAGCAATCAACCTTTTATTTTAGTTGATCAACATATTTATTTTTGCTAGCTAAGATAGCTCTTTAATTTCTTTCATGTAATTTGCACAAATTGCATTTTAATCTAATGATGGACATATTTTCCTTATTAAATGCACTACTATTACCATTAGGTTGATAACCAAGTGTTCTAGAAGAACTAAATCTTCTTTTATTGGATGCTCTTCTTCGGTTCCGACACGAAGTAAGAAGTCACTGAATGTTGAATCTGTTCTTACGTTTATATTTCTTGTCATTTGAATATTCTTCATTTGAGGTCGTAAGTATAATTTTGGCAAGCTAGCTTTTAAACTTTCTGTTTTCGTCAATTTTGCAACTGCTTATAGTACTTGACAAAAATCACCTTAGAAACTATTACTTTTCCACCAAACGGTTCATTTATATCCAATATATCTCTAAAACTCTAGGCAATTGTTTTGACCATTTGACGCTTAACCAAAAATGCTTCGTCCCATATTATCACTTTTGCTTTCCTTATAAATTTAGCACTATTTCTCTTCTTTGATATATTTGTGACGGTTATTTCAATTATTTGAAGGGGTATATCAAACCTAAAGTGAGTTGTACGTCCTAATAATAAAATTGTTGATGGTACACCATTTGTTCTAATTGCTAACAATAGCATGCCTCTTGATATGACAATTGCAAGTAATGCATGACATATGAATATTATTTTGATTCCACCGGAGAAATCTATAAAAGAAAATCCCACTATACCAGAGTTAACTTCTTATAATATGGTCTAGAAAGCTTATTCTTGTTCAGAATTTTGCTTTAATTGTGCCTTTTCAAATACTTGTATGACCTTCTTAATATTATACTAATCTTTTTTACTTTGTGATCTATTTTTTTTTTAATTTCTAACACTCTTTTTATGGAATAAATTTATGTACCATAAGATTTTTTTTTTAACTTGAAAAATAATTTTACTCATATGACGAATTAAAAAAATAATTTAGTAGGATTCTCTTGCCAAATAATTAATTAAAAGATTTGATTATTTATTTCTGTTGATTCAGATTCCTAATAGTTCATCTCATGTTTGAATATATACCCGTAATTATAATTTTATCCACCATAAATTTATCTTCAAAGAGTAAAAAGCTCGATTTGACATTACACTTTTAGATCTTTATGTTTGCAAATCATTAATGGTATGACTCTTACCAACTTTTTCTTTCTCATTCTCACACATTTATAGTCATAAAAACTTTCTTAGTTGTTCTTTAATAATTGGGTATATTTTTTAATATTACATAAAAAAATTAATAATAATAAAAAGATTATTTAATTAGAAAAGCAGTTCAAATATAATATAATAATATATTATCGTGAGAGTTTTTTTGTCAATCTCAACGCCTTATGCAGTACGTTTAACAACACTTTTATTTATTTTTTGGTATTGGATATTATAGAGGGGTAATGTATTACCAATATGGAGGAAAAATATTAAATATTAAAAAAATTAACATAGAAGTTGTTGTAGTCCAAAAAAATAAGTTATTACATTATGTCTTTTTCCTATGAGTTCTTCTGTTTAATATTTTAGGGCTATTTTGGTCTATCAATATTGTAGTTGTATTTTTATAATAATAAGAAGTATATCTTAAAAGTAATAGAATTACATGGCTAAAAATATGTCCGTATCCCGAAAGTAATTATACTAATAGGAAATCTAACGTGTTCCTAAAGGTATTAGGTTTACATGCTAATATGTACTATTATATATCTATGTCCGAAAGTAATAAGTCTTTTTAATTCTTATTTTTCTATTTTTATATTATTACTATTGATAGCTTCAATTGAAAAAAAAATCCTACGCCTAATAAATTAAAGTCTCGTTCTTGCTTTTAATTCTTATAGGAATCATTGAATTTGTTTTAAATTCTTATTGGAATCTACTTGAGTGGTTAAAAGTTAAAAAAAATTCCACGAAGTTTTAATTGAATTCAAAGTCTAAATTTTTGGAAAGTCATAAATATGACAATTATATCCAACAGATTTGAAAAATAGTTCAATATTTGAAGGATAATAGGATTCCTAAAGGTAATCATGTAGGATTACTAACTTGTAGTATTATGTCCTAAAATTATTAGGATTAGAAGGTTAATATCTAAAATTTCAATTTTGTTCTTTTATTGTGAGTTATTATACTTAATATTAAAAATAATTTTTGTAAATTAATATTTTATTTATGCTTTTATAATAATATAGATAATTATCTAACTAAGGCTGAATAAATATACAAATGTGTTTGTTTGTCTTGAAAAGCCTCATTGGTTCCGGAAAAAAATGTTACTATGATCGGAAAATAAGGAATATGATATGCTATGCTCTTTTGTATACCTCAATAGACAACAAAAGAATGTTGAACACTTTTGTTTTATGATTTTTTTTTTTTGTGTCCTTTACATTTTCTCTATATATTTTATTTTTTTATTTGATGGGAAGGTTGTAACAGGGAAAAGGGGAAGGAAGCATTTGGTGAGTGAATATGAAACTTCATTTTGCACTATGCCTTGTGAAAAAGGTGATGTATATTAAATTTGAAATCTAACCATTACTTTCTTTTTAATTCTTCATGCAAATTGAAAGACATTTTTTACACCAATACTGAATGAAAATATACAACAACAATTGCAACAAAAGAAAATTAAATGAGAATATTTCTTGATTTTTCAATGTAATAAAAATAGAAAAAAGTAAATAATTTTACCCTTAAGTAAATATCAGAAATGGCTCTTATATCATTTGATTTACTGTCATTACAAACTTGGCGTTAATATCATCACCCCTTCACATCGTTGTGACACGTGTATTCTTTCGCATCTCCCAATTAGTGTCCCTTACGTTGTTCCTATTTCTTTATTTTTATTTTCCCTGTCTTAAAGTCCGCTTCACAAAAATCTACTGCAGGAAACTCCATTTTCATTCGACCCCTCTATCTCCCCTTTCAGTAATTCCACTAATTCCTACGTATGTATAGACCGTAAAAAACAGAGGTTCTTGAAAATTTCTTACTACTATAACCTCTTGGAAAGGTATCAATATCCCTATTTTCATTTTCCAAAAAGCCTTTTGAGTACTTCTAGAATTTTCTTGGACAGACTTTACTTGTGTGTACAACTTGCGTGATGACACATGTTGTTAACTTGTTGTTTCCCTATGACTCCTTTTTGGCCTAGAAATACACAGTAGTATACGCCAAAGCCTATCTATTTTTCCTCTCTAGCTTCAAAAACTCATCTCTCTATATTTGTGTTTGTAACAGCAGCAAGGGGATACCCTTTTTTCTTTGGCGTCTTGTATAAATAAAGGTGAGAGCTTTGAGTAGCAAATGATGATAGGATTAGGGGTGGAGGAGTTGAGCTTTGAGAAGCTGATGGTGAACAATAATAGCAGCGGTGGGGGTTGTAAAATGGGGGGTGGGGGTGTGATCAGGGAGTGGAAAGATATACCTATGGAGTTGTTGTTGAGGATAGTTGCACTTGTGGATGATCAGACGGTGATTGTTGCTTCTGGTGTTTGCAGTGGATGGAGAGATGCTATTTCTTGGGGCCTCACTCACCTTTCCCTTTCTTGGTATGTGGCTTCATATCTTATCATTCCTTTTTTTGGAACAAAAGTTTTAAGTTTTTACTATTAGATTGTGTGTTTTGCTTATGGAATTCTGGTATTTTTTACTTGATGTAATGGATGAAGGGTAATTCTTGTTCTTCATTTATCTGATGAAAAAGATGGTCTTTAAATTTGTTGAAATCAGGGGAGTCGAGGCTGATTACAGAATGAAAGTCTACAATCTTTTTTATACTAAACTATCTTGGTCCTATTTGCCTGATCAATTTATTTGAGAGACTATAGGTTTCCTTTGTTTTTTAAATTTTGTGGGTATGAGGCTTGTATAACTTGTTGAAAAAAGCTTTGTGTTTGAAGCTAAGTTAAAGGGTTGACTGAAAATTTCCCCTGACTTGGATGAGCAAGTTGAGTTGTAAAAGTTAGCCTTGCACTTGCATCAAGGGATTTGGGGAAAATAAGAGGAATTAGTAACAATAGGATGGTGAGTCAAATTCCCATAGGTCTATCACATATGTTTATATTTGACATGCCCCAAATATGATTATATTTGGCATAAATGTAAGGTAAGGCTGCGTACAATAGATACTTGTGGTCCGGCCCTCCCGGAACCTGCGCATAGCGGGAGCTTAGTGCACCGGGCTGCCCTTTATGCCCCAAATATGATTATATAATCCTAGATATCATAGTGGTTTACTACTGTGCTCTATGGCAAAATTGGCCCTTTTTTCTCTATGCGTCATCCTGGATTTCTGGAAGCTGTATCTATGTTTTAGTGCTCAGAAGCGTTGAAAAGGAGAAAATATAATGGCATATTTGCCTTTGTTTAAGATTTTTTCCTTTTCCTTTTGGGTTTTTATTAGAATTTGGATTGGTTTCCCTATCTTGCCGGTATTAGTATTGTCAATTGTGAGAGTTGATATTCCAGAGAGTTGGAATTGCATCGATATTTATTATTAGAGAGCTGGCCTCATGTAAGACTATCATTTTAAAACTCTTGACCTCTGATAAGTGTGAGGGATCTTTCCTCTGGTTATTTGTGGTGTATTTCCTGGGATTCTAACTTCTGCAGCAATTTGTTTTTCAGGTGCAAGAGGAACATGAACAATTTAGTGCTGACACTTGCACCCAAGTTCACGAAGCTGCAGGTTCTAACTCTTCGGCAAGATTTACCACAACTTCAGGATAATGGTGTTGAGACAATTGCAAATCACTGTCATGAACTTCAAGACCTTGATCTTAGCAAGAGTTTTAAGCTAACTGACTGTTCACTCTATGCTTTAGCTCATGGCTGTCCAAACCTCACGAAGCTGAATGTCAGTGGGTGCTCGGCTTTCAGTGACGGTGCAGTCGCATACCTCGCTGAGCGTTGCAGAAAACTAAGAGTCTTGAATCTTTGTGGCTGTGTTAAAGCTGCAACTGATAAGGCATTGAAGGTATATGCCTTGAACTCTAAAATGTTCTGTTCTTAGGAGTACTTCAAAAACCTATTGGTACTTCTAACTGAAATGAATTGTTATTACTTTGTGCAGGCTATTGGTTATTACTGTACGCGACTGCAGACTGTGAATCTAGGTTGGTGTGATAAAGTTGGTGATGAAGGCGTAATGAGCTTAGCTTATGGCTGTCCTGATCTCAGAGCCCTTGATCTGTGTGGCTGTGTTCTTATAACAGGTAAAACTCGTCTCGGGTTAGGTTTCGTATGTAATGTCTTTCCTTGACAGCAGTATATGTACTACTATACTGGCTGGTATTAGACTCTGCCTAACTTGGCTCCTGTTAAGTTGTATTCAACTATTCTAGAGATTTTGGTATGGAAAATCTTATCAAAGAAAACAATTGATTCATGTCCTATTAGTGACCAACTGGCAGGAGATATTTATGCCAGATATTGTCTTTGAGGAAATTTTAGTAAGAGTTAAAACATGATTTGGATGTGTGCGGAGGTGTTGCCATAAGTAATTTTATCAATGACAAACTCTTTCCCCGGAAGGCTCAATTGCCGAACTCGTGTTACTGGAACTTTGACCTTGTCGGTGAAGATCGAAAGTTCTGGTTTTAGATAGGGTAGAATTATATGGCTATTTGTGCCAGAAAATGAATGATGAAGTAAGTGCAAACTATGCCCTGGAACACTTGGTTCTGGTGAATGTCAATCAGCCATCTGATTGTCAGATCATCTCCTAGATTTCGTGTGGATGTTTGTGTCATGAAATTTCGTGATCATTGCGCTCTACTCGTTTTAGCCGAGGGTCTATAGGAAGTAGTCTTCAGGTAGGGGTAAGGCTGCGTACATCCTACCATCCCCAGACCCCACTTGTGGGATTTTCACTAGGTGGTTGTTGTTGCACTCTACTCGTTGGAGGGATGATTTCTAAGTAGCTTAAATGTCTGTTTTTCCTCTTGTTAGTGTGTGTGTGTATTCAGGGGTATCATGCTGCCTACTTCTTGAGATGTCCATTGCATGTTCCCCTTTCTCTTAAAGATTAAGACGTAGTTGCTGATGCCTCCACTTGGAGTCATTTTTCTTGATTTAGTCATCCATTTAACATATCTATCTTACGTGCTGCAGATGAGAGTGTGATTGCGTTGGCAAACAATTGCCCTCACCTAAGATCGCTCGGCCTATACTTCTGCCAGAACATCACAGACAGAGCAATGTACTCTTTGGCCCAGAGTCGGGTCAAGAACAAGCACGAGATTTGGGCGTCTATGAAGAAGAACAGGTACGAGGACGAAGGGCTTATGAATCTAAACATCAGCCAGTGCACTGCTCTCACGCCTCCCGCCGTCCAGGCAGTGTGCGAAGCATTCCCTGCCCTGCACACTTGCCCCGGGAGACATTCCCTCATAATTAGCGGCTGCTTGAACTTAACATCGGTGCACTGTGCATGTTCTGTCCAAGCACACCGTGCACGCGTTCTCCATCCAGCTCACTGAGTGTTGGTTGTATGGAGGAGAAATTTCCAAGTTCCTAGGCCTTCATAGAGGGGAAAAAAAAGTTGGACTCGGCCTTGTACATATTTGTTTGTGTAAAAATTATGCTGGACATTCTTGGCTGTATAAGCCAATCGGTTCTGTTTGTTTAATCTTTTGGACTGATAACTTGTTGTTTATGTTGTTCTGACTCCTTTCATGTGTTAAATGTTATGTGTAAGACTTATATTTCATGCGTCACACCTAAAATTAAACGTGGGACATAGTTTGGTGGGGGTCTAAAACATAGGAGAAAAAAGCTTGATATGTCAATGTTTCAAAATGGTGGTAATACATGTGGACTTCAATTGATAACTCACCCTAGTATGAGTTTAAAACAGAAGCAGAAAGATTAGTTTGTCCATCTAAAGATAAAAGCTCCATATCCTTCCTGGACTATGTATTTGCTCAAAGTGCTTCTGAAATCAGAAAATTCCATCACATCCCTAGTTACAACTTGCATATCAAACAAATGGCTTAGTTGTTTTATTAAAACAAGCAAAGTAGAAGATGTTGAATTGCCTTAACTTGCACGTCATTGACAACATAACATCAGATTTGTCTCTTCCTCTAGATTTTCTCTGTTGATGTGAGAATGTCTTTTATTGAACCGTATAATATGCGGTATTAGGTTATGAAAAGAGGATGTTAGTTGTAGAAATAAAGTAAATCAGATGGGTGAAGAGCTGATGTTATAACATAAAGTTTTAGCAAACGAAGTTTTAGCTAGCGTTTGGTCGTAAATTTCTTAATATGTTTCAGAAAAATCTGATTTGGATGAAGTTTGGTTTGAAGATGAAAATTTGTTTGGACATAATTTTTCAAAATATATTTTATTATTATTATTATTTTATTTTTTTGTGAAAAAACATGACATGTGACTTATACCTCTAAAAACTATCAAAAATATCCAGTAATACCAAAAAAAAACTTGCTAATCCTGTGTATAGAGCCTTCATTGATGCCATTCATTATCACAAACCATAATTTTGAACATAGATAAGTTTGGCATAAAATTATCATTTTTATAATGAACTACATAATACACTATCCTAAAATTATAATCTGATATTTTAATATCAATTGTTAATAACACAATTACTAACCACTATAATTCATCAAATTGTAATAATATTAGTCTAAAAGAAAATGATAGTAGTAATTAGCTGGTGGTTAGTAGGGTCATAATAGATGGTGTTTTTTTTTTTTTTATAAAATATAAAAGTTTGGAGTGATTTTTTATATTATTAAAAAATTAAACATTGATATTTTGGGCCAAAGACCGCTCTAGAGCTAGTTTTGGGATTTGGAAATCTATAAACAAACATATTTTGCCAATTGTGTTTTGGAAAAAACTTAGGCAAAATCTGTGGTCAAACGGATGCTTAAATTTAGGTTACTTTTAGCTAATGAATATGATCTAAATTAGTGAATGGTGGGTATTGCTTAATATTGTTGGTTTGAAACATTCTCGTGATTAATTGTTTCCGCAATTTGGTAGTTTTGAACGGTTAAAGGAAATTACAGATTTTTAGAGTCAATTACTCAAATTGTAACTCAACTATTTCAAATTATCTTCTAAAGTTACTTTTCTTTCGTTTGTAACAACAAAGTCACTGAACTACACCTATTGCACTCAGAAGGTCACTCAATTATATTTTTTAAATTTTGGATTGCCAAATACCTATTTTACCCTCTAAATTATAAATATTTATCTTCTTTTTATTTTTTTTAAAATTTCAGTATTAACAACAAAAATTCAAAAATTTATTTACACAATTCAGAATGAAAGAAAATAAGGGTTGTAAAATATATATTACATGCATGTAATATAAAAATAATCTATGTTATTATAAAAGCATGAATATAATGCCGGTTTACAAAAATAATCTTATAATATTAAGCATAATAACTCACAATAAAAAGACATAACCGAAATTCTAGACATTTGTAATCCTATTAGTTTTAGGACACAATGCTACAAGTTAGGAATCCTACATGATTACCTTTCGGAATCTTATTAGTATAATTAATTTAGAGTACAAACATATAATACTACATGTTAGCATGTAAACCTAATACCTTTGGGAACACATTAGATTTCCTATTAGTATAATTACTTTCGGTATAGAGACATATTTTAAGTCATGTAATCCTATTACTTTTAGGATATACTTCTTAAACATTTCTATTACTAATTTAATTTGAAAAAGTATTATAATGTGCTATTACTAATTTAATTTGAGAGTGTATTATATTGTTCAAATTCATTTAGAAAAATGAGAACCTTTATTATTATAAAAGCATGAATACAATATTGATTGACCAAAATAGTCCTAAAATATTAAATAGAAGAATTCATAGGGAAAAAAACATAACTAAATTAATAATATTTTGGACTACATGACATTCTATGTTAATTTTTTAATATTCAATATTTAAAATTAAATTTTTCTATTAAATTCTTATTAAAATATGTAGGAAGGTTTAATAAAATCAATTTCAGAAGAATCCTCCATATTGGTAATACATTATTATTCCATAGAGAAAATAAAAATAATATTAAATGGACTGCATAAACCATTTACATTTCCCATAATATATTTTATATTATATCTGAACTATTTTTCTACTTAAATAATATATTTTTAATCAATTATTAAAAAATACCTAATTATTAAACAACAACTAAGAAAATATTTAAAAATATAAATAAGTGAGAAATAGAAAGAAAATTGGTTGGTAAAAGTCAATTCCACTAATGATTTTGCAAACATAAAGATCTAAAAGTGAAATGTCATACAGTCTTTTCACTCTTTTAAAAGAAAATTTATGGTGAATAAAATTATAATTAAGATTAAATCTTCAAAACATGAGATGAACTAATATTAAGAATCTGAATCAACATAAAATAACTTATTTTTTATGTTAAGACCAAATAATTAAATCTTTCAATTAATTATTTAGCAAGAGAATCCATTTCAATTATTTTTAAAATTTATCATATGAGTAAAATTATTTTTCAAGTTAAGAAAAATCTTAGGGTACATAAATTTATTCCATAAAAAAAGTGTGTGATTACCCAAAAGGTCATCTCGTGTTTTAGAATCCAATTCGGGGTTCCGAGGCCTTCAAAACCTTATTTTCTTTTTCCTCGAGTTGCGTGCACAGTCCGACTGCGTTTTCGGAAAGCCTTTATGTCATGACCCCAAATACCCGATTGTGATAGCGCCTATCACATTACTAGGCAAGCCAACCCAAACTATTAACTACAACAAATTCCTTTTTATAAAATTATTTTTCTAACACAGGTTTAAATACCAAATTTTCTTAATAAGTGTTTAAAAACAACAAAATATAAGCGGAAGTCAAATAAACATGAACTACACAGCCCAAATATCTAGTGTCACGAGTCTAGAACCTCTACTACATAACTGACTGTCTAACACAACATAAGTTTAGAAAATGCGGAAAAGAACAAGTTAAGAAGGAGAAAATAGGGTTGCGGACGCCATGCAGCTACCTGGAAATCTCCGGCATCCTCTGGATCAGCTGAGGACCCTCACTCTACCACTCGGGCACCTGGATCTGCACACAAGGTGCAGGGAGTAACGTGAGTACGCCAACTCAGTAAGTAACTAAATTAAATAAGGTCTGAAAGCAGTGACGAACAGTTAAAAATCATATAACTGAATAAACAACAGGATAACAGGTCAACTTCACCGTTTAAAACCTGTTTCATCGTAAAATCATCAATTTCAGTTTAAACACTTGAAATCATATACTTAGCAATTTTTCCAACAGAGGCTATTTTTAAAAGAAGAGTGAAATTAGTGAAAATATCATAACCGGGCCCCTCGAGCAAGGTATCACTCAGAATATGGCCTCTCAGTCACTCGTGACTCACTCTCGTCACTCAATACTCACTCTCAACACTCAGGCTCATTAATATCTAATAATAATAAAAATCATAGTAACCGCTGCGGCGTGCAGCCCGATCCATAATTTATAGTCGACTACGCTCACTTGGGGTGTACAAACTCCGGAAGGAAGCATCATATCGCTGCGGCGCACAGCCCGATCCAATATATATATCGCTGCGGCGTGCATCCCGATCCATATAAGTATCGCTGCGGCATGCAGCCCGATGCATAACTCACACATATATAAATATCCTCACCATTAGGTTCTTAACCTTTCTCAGTCATTAACCTCACAGCCTCTCGGACACAACAGTAGATTAAAGAACTTAGTCCAAACAGTCCTCACATTTAGAAAAACCAGTTTTAAACATTTAAACAGGTAAAACATGACTGAGGATATGCTTTCAACAAGTAAAGTGAGGAAACACAGTAAAAATGCCCCTAAGGGTCTCAACAGGTCCGCACAAGGCCCCAAACATGGCATACATCCCATAATACAGTATGAATGACTAAAGTACGGAATAATATAAGATTCCAAATCAAATACGCAGCTTAATAGTAGCTACGGGACGGAGCAAGTCACAATCCTTACCGGTGCATGCCCACACGCTCGTCAACTAGCATGTGCGTCACCGCATTTATCAAAACAAGTCAAATACCAGGGTTTTGTACCCTCAGTTCCAAATTTACAATGGTTACTTACCTCAAACCGGTGAAAATACAACTCTGCGACGTCTTTGCCCCTCGAATCGGCCTCCACTCGCGTTAAATCTATCCAAAATCAGAATCACGGCATCAAAATATGCTAAGGGAACGAAGCCCAAACGAAAATAATCAAATTATACCCAAAATCCCGAAATTGGCCAAACTCGACCCCCGTGCACACGTCTCGAAACTCGATAAAAATTACATCAACGGAATCCTTATCCTCCCACGAGTTCATACATACCAAGAACACTGAAATCGAAGTCCAAATGACCCCTCAAATTCTCATTTTAAAGTCTCTTAATCTCAAGCCCTAATTCCTCAATTTTAGGCTTAGATTCTACGATTTATTAGGTAGATTTCACGATAGAATCGAGTTTTAAGTCCAAAATTCTTACCTCCAAGTGATTCCCCTTGAATCCCTATTCAATATCCTTCAAATAGCTCCAAAAACAACCAACAATTGAAGAAATAAACCCCACATTCGCGGACAAGACGACCTTTTAAACCTTCTGCTCAGGTCTGAAATCCTTCTTCGTGAACGCGGTCAAAATCTCGTGTTCG